AATGTTATTTATTGATAATTATTGACAATATTGGCGATTATTATGTTTTAACACTAATAATATATTTTTTTTACATTATTATTCTTCAATAGATATATTCTTACCTGTGATATAATCTATGATCTCTAGTAATCAGCTTTAAGCATCCACCACCATTGTAGGAGAATTGATCGCAAAACTCAAAAGTATTAATATCGACGGCAGATAATTTATTTTCAAACTTGACTAAGTTACCACAAATTCGTATAATGTTCTTCCTATTTTCGTAGATACGTTCTATTCGGATTTCTTTCTTCTTACAAGTTTCGTTGCTTTCATTATTTTCATCTTCAACATCTCCAGTAAGGATTCGTTGTGTCGATCGCGTAAATTGCATATATGGCACAGGAATTGCCAATTGTAGTTGCTGCATACGTAAATTGTAAAATGCTTTTTTCTCGGGCGTGTTTTCGCCGTTTACCGTGTACGGTTCAAAATGTTCCTAAACAAACGCGCATGCAGATATAAATTAGTTTTAAATACCACAAACATTTTAATAAAAATGTTTGACACTTTTAATTAATTAAATAAAAAATCTGATTTATTATTCAAATTTACCTCGCCATTATAATAATAGCAGATACCAGCACCTCGACAGAAGGAAGTTTTAAATGTGTCATTCTCAAAAATAGGTACGTGCACATATAAATAAGGGAATAACTGAGCCCAGAATAAATCTTCTAGAATTAGAAAAGTACTTGGACCAAAGTATTCGTGTGTCCATCCAGGAGCAAATATAGCAACTGAAAGCCCTTTTTCCCGTATTAAATTTAATGCCTTTAAAAATAAAATAAAACATATATTTTCTTATTATCTGAGTATTTATTTAGCAAAAGATATTATAAAGATATTAAAGTGGTAGATAGTAAATGGCAGATTTGTAATATGTAATAAAAGTAGATTTATTTACATATGCTGAGTTAAAGCCACCTCCGCCTGGACATCCTCTTCCCCAAACATCTAATCCGACATAAATATCCTTAATATCGCGACCCAATTCCTTTGCAAGTAAACAACTGTTGCTTAATCGCAATTCTGTCCAAGTATAATTTAAGAATATACCATCGCAGTGCAGGAAAAATTCTCTAAAACAGAAATAATAATTATTAAATTGTATCGTTATATCTGAAATATTGATTTAAAGAATATTACTTGTTATTATCATTGAGTTCATTTTGCCAATTTAATTCACCCTTATTAGTCACACTATCATACCAGATAATTTCCGAATCTTCAATCTCATTGTGAATAGTTTCTGTTAGGTATTTAATGAAATAAATTAAATTATTAATATCTTCTTGCTTAATCTTATTTTCAATATTCAAAAGCCAGCCTTCAAATTGATAACTTTTTGCAATCATTACTAGAGCGTCTGCAAATTTTCTTGCATCTTCTTCCGACGCAAGAATTGTATCCCAGGTATCATTATTTCCTTCCGTGATCACAGTACCCAAAACTTTTACACCGTGATGATGAGCCGCAGTGATCCATCCATAAGGTGGGATAGTCACAAAGTGGTGACTAAAATACACAAATGTATCGACAATACTCCAGTGGTAAAATACATAAGAATCATAAGAGGTAGAACCATGTAGAAATCTATAAATATAAAACAAATACAGATATGATTATAATTCACATATGCATTTACTTAAATTGAGATATTTTGTAAAATTACCTGTCTTCGAGATAACCACCTTTCATATCGTGACAAACTAATGTTCTGGGTTGTTCAGCTCTATCCACTCTTTCCAGTGGAACTTTCTGTGCAACAATATCTGAACCTCGGTATACATAATCCACTGATTCTGTAATATATACCAATGGTAGTTCTATTAATCTACTGTTCAGAGTATCATATAATTCTGCCAATGTATTAAAAGGCAGTAATTCTCTTGCTTCATCGTTGCTTGCCATCTCAATGGTTTCTGATATGCTGTTGCTGCATTTCATGGTTACATTTCAGTTTTCTGATAATAAACTGTAACATATAATGATTCTTCCTGTTGTGTAGCTATCACCGGAAAGTACACATGGTATGATAGTCTATTTTAGAAAAAAGTAGTTCATGGTTTTGATAACATCACTACTCTGTGGTGAAATCACAATGCCAATTATCTAATCATTCGCTACCATTATCTGCTGACAATTATCATGTAAGATGAATGACAGCCAAGAAATCTGTGATAGCGTAAGCAAAACGTTATAATTGCTAATAATTAATTATCAAAAAATTCGAGCAAAACATTGCAATAGATTGTCTCATTAACTTTATTAATTATCATTAATATTAAATATTTTGCTCAGCATTTTCATGTCTTGCCAACATCTGTCACTTCATAATTATTTAAATTAAATATATCATTTTGTGAAATAGCAAATTTTTTTTTATTATTTGTTTGTTCAATAATAAATTTAGTCAACCTGTTATCGCATATTTTGTAAACAGATCCTATTATATTTCTACTGATATTTTATTATAATTCTTCTAAAAAAATTATATAGATATTTTGCAAAATACATTAATAAATAAAGTTTATTTTAATATATATAAAATTAAACTTTTTTTCAATTTTGAGTCATCTTCAGCAAGTCAACAAACATTAAAAAATATATAATCTCACACTTTTGATGCGCGATTAATTTTTAAAAATATAAATATATGTCGG